ACCCTGAAACAAGCGATAAATCATTATCCTCTCTGCCTCTAAAATGACACGCCGTCTCAATTTACCAGAAAGCCTATATCCTATAGTATCCTGTACTGTGGTGAATGACGACGCTGTGTATTACTCTGATGGCTAGGGCACGGTGTGTGTATACAGAAAAAACAGATAACACATTCATCACAAGGTTTAATCCAGTTACATTAAAAATTAAACAGATCCTGTCACCTGCAAGGTGACAGGGTCTCTTTAAAGCCCACCCCTTCCCACAGATGCATCAGAATAAGAGGAAGGTCTGCGATGAAGTGTAGTATAACCGGGTTGTGGTGAGCAACTAAACCCATCGATTTAACGGGTTCCCAAAACAGGTTCCCAAAACAGGCTCATACACACTGGGCGTCAACAGTGCTGCTTTTAAGGACATTTGACTTTTTTCTACCTCTAAATGCCCCTCCGTGCACACATAGGCATTTATTGGCAGAAAAAAAACAAACAAACGAACATTGCATGTTCAGGAGAAGATCATTTTGGTAGAAAAAAAAAAAAAAAAAAGAAAAACGCCCAACGCACCTAAGCGATAGACAGGGTTTAGTGCTTGAGCGTTCATCGATTTCAATGGCCAGAATAAAATAATATTCTTGGCTAATGAAATGAATGAACACCCGATGTACCTAAACGCGTTTGTAAAACGTGGCTGTAGGCGAGTTTTTTTTTTACGCTGCTTTTCTCCTGTCAAGAAAAAAGGCACTCAGAAGATGCCTAAAATTCAAGACATGCCATGAATGATAACTGTCACATTTGCTTGTACTCCCAACCAAACGATCAAGCCATCAACTGGATGGTGTCATAGCTGATCATGTGTGCAGCATCATGGCAACTGCAGATCAACAGAGGTCATGCCATCAGCTTCCTTGGGTGTAAAGGATAGGAAGGTTTAGTTCCATTTCAAAGTGGAATTAAATGTAAAAATGATCGGGAATAACATTATCGTGGCCTGGCCAACCAAGTAGCTGTAAAGAGATGGAACGGGGAAGGAAAACCAGAAGACCTGGTGGCCATGGACTCAGGTTATAGTGGCTACTGTGTTACATGGTTGACGAAAGGTTAGAGCAGAACTTCACCAGAAAGGGGAAGTTCCGCTTTATGTAATAGAACAGTTTTTAACAGTTTTACTGCAACCTGTTCACAATTCCCAAACCCAGTGTGCCCTATCTTGGATCTCAAAAGCACTGAATGTGGTCTGTCATCTCCTCCCTTCACCAGGAAGACCTAGCTTCTATGGACATCATTGTCGTCAAGATCCTACCTTTTCCCAGAGATTATGCTGCTCCATGTGCTGGCATCCATCTTGGGTTTCTGTAAAGCATGGTGGGAGCCTTTTATGCTTTCAGGCCTCTGCGGTCCATCCCCCAGAGGGGTGTGATTGAGCACATTTAAGCCTGTTGTCTGCACTTGCTCTTTGCATTCGTGTCCTGTTTATTAGTGTTGTTGCAAGCTCTTATTCTACTCTCGTGGCTCTCCTGGAAACTGACTCGGCTTTGACTAAGACTATTCTCAGCCTTATCCCTTTATCTGACCTCCCGTTGCTGAATCCGGCTCGTGACCTGTGTATTCTTGTCTACCGTTCTGTACTGTCTGTCCCGCTATTATCGACCCGGCCTGTCTGACTACGCTATCGTTCTTATCTGGTTCCTACCCGCTATACGCCATTGCCGGCGGCCATTACCGCAGCTGGGGTTTCTCGGGGGCCGCGACCTGGTTCCAGGCTGCATCAAGTCCATCCCCACCATCAGGGGCCCTGGTGAAGGGCAGCCTGGGGCTTAGACTCCGCGCCCTGAGGGACTCCGGTCTGTGGATGGTGGTTGTCAGTCGGTGCGTGACCCTGCCATTAGGCCTGCCTGTCCATTCCACAGCTCCTGCCCTGACAATCATGGACACATACCTAGCACAGTGGCTAAATGGTTAGCTCTTCCGCCTGGCAGTACTAGGGTTGTTGGTTCGAATCCCAGCCACAGCACCACCTGCCTGGAGTTTGCATGTTCTCCCTGTGCCTGCTTGTGTTTCCTCCGGATACTCCAGTTTCCTCCCACAATCCAAAGACATGCTGGTAGGCGATTTGGTTCCTATCTAAATTGACCCTAGTATATGCATGTATGAATGTAAGTTAGAGACCTTAGATTGTACACCCCTTGAGGAATAGGGACTGATGTGAATGTACAATATTTATATGTAAAGCGCTGTGTAAACTGATGGCTATATAAGTACCTGAAATAATAAATAAATGTAATCCACCACCCCTCCCTTTTCACCTTTTGCACATATTACTGTTCTTTTGGGGAGAGGGTACCTAGTTTTACTAGGTACCTGCTCCCACCTGCCTAGGAGATCCATGTGGAAGTTTGCCGCCACCACCCCACCCATCTTTGCCTTCAGATTTCTGGGAAACGTCAAAGCCCCTGGGAGGCTGCGTATCCATACACAAAGTGCACTGCGTCTCGCGCTTGCACAATGGGAAGCCGTCTGAAGCTGCAAGGAGTCCAGCTGGTTTCCCACACAAAGATGCTGGCTCCAGGGACCAGAAGACCGGCCCAGGTGATGACAGTGCTGGGTCCCTGGACAGGTAATGGTCCTTATATTAAAAGTCAGCAGCTACAGAATAGTGGCTGACTTCATTTATTTTTTCTAGGGTGCAAAACCTCTTTAAATGTTTCCAGTGGAGATCCTGTAATCCAGGTCTATATAAACACACTATCCTGTATCACGCTTTCCCCGCACAAACACACCAATCAGCTGCTATTTCAGGCCCTTTTACTATGATGTAAAATGGAGTAGGATATTTATAGATCACAGATCGTTCAATCGGCTTGCTTTGTAAACATCACACCCCATGCAGAGAAATGTCTGCTCAACTTCCTAGGGCAGCGGAAAATATTCTATTTATGTGTCCCACACACAGGCCACTGTAAGGGCGAGACTGAAAATGATTATAACTGAAATAGCTATCGCTCCAAGCCCAGACCACAAAGTTTATGAATAGTTACCAAATTATCACCTCTAAAAAGTGAGATATGGTTTTAAAGCTGAATATTGAAATACAACCCACAACAACCACAAAAGGATAAAAATCCACGTTGAGTGCACTGAATGCCTTCACAAACCCAGATATTATCTTGTAAAGGTAGCAGAAATATCATAGCCATTGCAGAGACCAGAGATGTGGGAGGGGCCCAACCCACTACATTCTGCCTGACGAAAACTACAGGAGGGGGCGGAGACAAGACCAGTCACCCTGTACAAGTGGAGAGAACAGCAGTGACCAGTCTTTATTACAGGAAGCTCCTGCACAAGAGGAAAAGTGTCACACTGGCTTACTGCACAGATCTGGAAAAAAATACACAAAGCACTCCAAGATTTATGGAAGAATATACATGACTCTTGTATTTAGACAGTATGTACTTATCCTGGAGTCCAGCTTTAACATTTGGAGCTCTAGGGAGCCAGTAGCATTTCAGAGGCTTGCTTCACTTCAGGTTTGTCTTTACACCTCCAGAGAAATATATACCTTGTCAGTGATAAACTATCACAGCAACACCATCAATGTACCTACTATCATGGCAAAAACAAATGTGTAAATATGTATAAAAACTGTAAAAACTCTGGTGCCTCTTTAGAATTCAAAAGATTTCAAGTGCCATGCAACCTTCACCAAAAGCTGTGTGCCAAAAAATAAAAACAATAAATAATGTAAAAGCATGATTATACATATAAAAGACACAAATGAAAGCAGTTCTGTATTCATTAATGCATTATGGACAAGCAGTACTAGTACGTGAATTTTACTTGGTATTAGCCTCTGTACAGCAGAGCTCAGACTAGCAAAAGGGGAAGCAGCACATGGAACCATTCAGTTCATGTGCAGACAAGGACCACACTGCAAGTAGGGGAGAGCAAATTGACAGAGAGATAAGCTTGTCACCCCATTTTAAACGTAAAATCATATAATGCAGCGCTGCTCCAAACCTCCAAAATATACAACAGATAACGTGAATGGCAATAATCAACAAAATCACTCCAATCAATAAACCATCAAACTACATGCTAAAAATGTTTTCATTACATAAACTTTACAGTATATTACCATGTGCGTTAACGATAAAATCCAATAAAATAGTCCTATTTAAAACGTAATATCTTGTGCTTCACACCATTCATAAAATATGTGATTTCTCATATGTGCTTCCACACCATTAATAAAACATTTGCTCTCCCGTGTGTCCTTCCACACCATTAATTCAAAAACATGTGCTCTCCCGTGTGTCCTTCCACACCATTCATAAAACGTGTGTCCTTCTCTCTCCCCGTGTGTCCTTCCACACCATTCATAAAAACATGTGTCTCCCCGTGTCCTTCCACACCATTCATCATAAAACATGTGCTCTCCCGTGTGTCCTTCCACACCACATAAAACGTGCTCTCCCGTGTGTCCTTCCACACCATTCATAAAACGTGCTCTCCCGTGTGTCCTTCCACACCATTCATAAAACGTGCTCTCCCGTGTGTCCTTCCACACCATTCATAAAACATGTGCTCTCCCGTGTGTCCTTCCACACCATTCATAAAACATGTGCTCTCATAAAACGTGCTCTCCCGTGTGTCCTTCCACACCATTCATAAAACATGTGCTCTCCCGTGTGTCCTTCCACACCATTCATAAAACATGTGCTCTCCCGTGTGTCCTTCCACACCATTCATAAAACATGTGCTCTCCCGTGTGTCCTTCCACACCATTCATAAAACATGTGCTCTCCCGTGTGTCCTTCCACACCATTCATAAAACATGTGCTCTCCCGTGTGTCCTTCCACACCATTCATAAAACATGTGCTCTCCCGTGTGTCCTTCCATGTCTTGGTATGCTGATGCCTTAAGGAGTTCCCTTCACTGGAACCAAGGGGCCAAGCCCAACCCCTGAAAAAACCCCACACCATAATCCCCCCTCCACCAAAAACTTTACACTTGGCAGAATGCAATCAGGCAGGTATCGTTCTCCTGGCAATCGCCAAACCCAGGCATGTCCATCGGCTTGCCACACAGAGAAGCATGATTGGTCACTCCAGAGAACACGTCTTCATTGCTCTAGAGTCCAGTGGTGGCGTGCTTTACACCACTGCATCCGATGCTTTGCATTGCACTTGGTGATGTAAGGATTGGATGCAGCTGCTCGGCCATGGAAACCCATTCCATGAAGCTCTCTACACACTGTTGTGCTAATCTGAAAGCCACATGAAGTTTGGAAGTCTTTATCTATTGACTCTGCAGACAGTTGGCGACTTCTGCGCACTGTGCACTTCAGCATGCGCTGACCCCGCTCTGTCATTTTACGTGGCCTACCACTTCAAGGCTGAGTTGCTGCTGTTCCCAGTTGCTTCCACTTTGTAATAATACCAGTAACAGTTGACTGTGGAATATTTAGGCGCAAGGAACTTTCACAGATGGACTTATTGCACAGGTGACAGCCTATCACGGTACACGCTTGAATTCACTGAACACCTTAGTGCGATCCATTCTTTCACAAATGTTGTAGAAGCAGTCTGCATGCCTAGGTGATGATTTTATACACCTGTGGCCATGGAGGTGATTGGAACACCTGAATCCAATGATTTGGAGGGCTGGCCCAATACTTTTGGCAATATAGTGGATGTGCTCTCCCATGTGTCCTTCAATCTTCCACACCATGGGCTCAGAGGAATCAGATCTGGAGCTGATAAGAAAATGGCACCACTGAGATAACAGATTCTGGGAGCCATTTCTGTTGTCCCAATCATTAGCTGCTTGAAGGACCGGGGGCAAAGCTGTCGGATATTCTCGTGCTAAGGTGGCGAGGTTTGATTACAGTGTTCTAAGAACACAGAGTGTACAGTGGCCCCCATCCATTATTCAGAACACAGAGGAGCTGGGCTCAGCATATCTCCAGCACTCCTCACTAATGTATGAAGAAAAACAAGTGCAGGGGTCAGCCCTGGGCAGGACGCAGCGTGAGAACAAATTAAAGGACATCAGCAGTCAAACAGCTAAACACACATATAGGAAGGATTTTTTCCCCAAAGAGTAATACATAGAATAATGCATGCAGGCCTGTGATCCAGCCTGGCTGCATTGTATGGCTAAGCAATATAAAGAGAGTGACAACACTTCAGACATCTGAAAGGTTCTGTAGAATCTAAAGCACGGCCTTGTTTTCTGCCTGGATTAGTGGAGATCAACATGAAATAGTTTTCGGATATTTGCCTGGAGCAGTACATCATTGGGCTTATTTCGTTGGGTAAAGTAAAAGATACAAATGCTGGTATTCCTTGGCTGCCAATCAGAATTCATTTTTTTTTACTGATGTGACCTCTGTAAAGAACTATGATTGGTTACTTTGGGCTACTGCACTCTGCATATCTCCACTCATCTTTGAATCGCCCTACCACATAAGCCTGGTCTCCCCTTAAAGGGAACTTGTCAATTACTTTTCATTTTTAGAGAAAAAAGTCCACCTAAGGTGCCAACAACCCCCTGCTGTTAGTTTAAAAAGCCTTTTCTGTGGGCTCGGCTTTTCTAGGCATCTCTTCCCAGTATCTGGACTGGTCATACAAGCTGGGCTGAACGAGAAAAATCCAAATAATCCAGCACACTAAAAGAGCAGAGATCAGGAGTCTCCAAACTACAGGCCCGCGGGCTGGATGTAGCCCTTTGCTTGCCTTTATCCATCCTTTGGGAGCACTATTCCTTCTAGTGATACGCCCAGTGGGGCACAGAGGTGCACTGGTCACTCTGCCTACAGCACAATGGCAGCAAAGGTGTCCAGTGCTCCCCCTCACCAATGGTACAAACGGCAATTGCCCCAACCTAAAACTGGCCTTAGCTGCAAGGAGCACATGGAAGGATGATGAATGTCAAACAAAGAAAAACTCCCAGCTCACTTACCAGCCAGCCTGCAGCCAAGCGAATTGTCCTAACAGTTCACGGTAAAAACAAGGAGTTTCGTTTGAACACATTTGCAGATATATGCGTAAGCTGCAGAGCCTCTTCACGAACGCGGTGTTATCTGCAGTCTTAACTCTATAAATTTTGAGAGCTTCCATAGTAGAAGCACATAAATGATAATGGATAGATTGAGGGCAGGTATGCCTGGAGGTGCCTCTGTACTAGTATGAATAAATTCCTCCATGTGTGCATGATTACACAGCTCCTTGCCAGCCAGTCTAAGTGGCCTAAGCCCCAACACCCACAAAACTCCAGGGATAAGATGCCGGTGGCCAAGCCTCATGGATGTCAGATCTTTGGATGGGAGTATTTATAGAGTTTAGTCTTGCTATAAGTCACGTCCCTGAAGGTACACCCCACTTACCCACCATGATCCGATCTAATAAAAATGCCATTACTTGCCAAGAACATAAGCAGTCAGTGAACTGGTAATGCAAACACTACACCCGTATTGAAGTCACCGAGTTCATGCAATTCATTTTAAGGAGAACCAGTTAGAGCAGATTCTCTCTAACCTCAATTCAACACCTCCAGAAGCTGCACAATGCTGACCTCATCTACATGCAGGCGGATGGGAATCTTTTTTTTTCTCCAAACAAAAGTGGCAATGAAAAGAGATGAGGCTGTGTGGCTGATCACACAGCACAATAGGTTGAAACTTGGAGCCCATTCACACTTGTACTACTTGTCATGCGACTTTGGGGTCCACTATCGCATAACAAGTTGCACTCCATGTTGCCCAATGAGTACCATTCATATCTGTGCGACTTGAAAGTAATTACTGTACTACTTTGGTCCGATTTTCATGTGACTTGAGGGCCATAGACTTCAATATAAATCTTCTAAACTCGCATGAAAAGTCACACCTGAATGAATTCCATGCGGCTTGTGTGCGACTTTGTAGAAACAAACAATGATCCTTGGACTGAGCCAGGCCTCATCATCAGTCTCATCGAGTCACACTGTAAAGTCGCAATAAAAATAACTTTAGTTTTGAAGTTGCACAAGTGTGAATGAAGCCTTAAAGTGAAACTTAAAGCGGAGTTCTGCTTTAAAGATTGGTCCCCCCCGCTCCCCATTAAGGATTGGCAACTTTGGGGAGCAGGGGATGGAGCAGGTACCCGAAATTGACAGGTACCCACTCTTGCTGTGATCGCCTAGGCAATCAGAAGCGGACGTTGTCCTCCTACCCTCCCCGATGTCTTGTGGGACACGTGACAGGTCCTACAAGACGACGGGGCCATTCAGGAAGCGCAGCGCTACTTGCGTATGCGCCGTGGGCACCCAGTTGTGAAGCCGCAAGCTGTCACAGCTGGGTGCCCACACTGAAGATGCCAGCGCCTGGAATACAGAACAGCCGGTGAAACGGGCTGCAGCGTTTTTTTTTAAAAGTCAGCCGCTACAGTTTTTGTAGCTGCTGACATTTTTTTTTTTTTTTTTTTTTTTTACAGAGCGAGTGGAGCTCCACTTTAAGTCTGCTCTATCACCTCCCATCCAATCCACAAGGTCCCTCCCTGGTGCTGACATCTACAACTGCTCTTTTTCCAGGCTTGGCACCTTGGCACGCACAATCAAAGAAGTTTTCCAGCAACTGACTAAGAAGCTTTTATGGGACAACAGGACCCTGATTTACTGCCAGACTGCTGAAAAAGAGCCAGGATTGACATACGAGTTTTCCAGTGGCACACTAGGAGAATTACACTAAAATTGCATGCATGGTGAGAGATGAAAATGTGAAAACCTGATAAGAATTGTACAAATGTTTTCATGTACGTCAGTGCAGCATTACAGTCCACAAATGTGTACAAATATCAATATTCGATTGTAAAGGATGTGTTATTGCGACTGTTGCGTGATCTTGCGCATCAAGCGTTAGCAAATTCCTCCTGCAATAAGAAGCCTTCCTGTTGGAATGGTTTTTATTACGCATAAATAATGTACATATATAATAAGTGCAAGTCATTGCAAGGTCACAAAACAAATGTGGTGTGACGGGTGGCACAGCATCGCTTGTCACCGCACTGCTGTGCAGTGACATGAGGTTAAAAAAAAAAAAAAAAGTGCAATGTGCTGAGCTGCGCATCACACTGCTTGTTTGGTTTTTTTTTTTCCCAACTTAATCTGAAGTGTCACATGCTGACACTTCATTCAGTCATTGCACAGCAGCACCATGACATGCGGTACAAAAAAAAATGCAGACATGCTGCATTTTTCCCCACTGCGCCGCACATCACACCACAGTTGTTTATGTGCTCTACGTTTATCCTGCATTTATAATGACAATCATATTATATATGTATATTATTTAGGAGTAACAACCACCATTCTTACAGGAAGGCTTCTTTTTGCAGGAGACACATACTATGTAAGGAATTTACTAATGCTTGATGTGCATAATCACGCAATGGTTGCAATAACACGTCCTTCGCCATCCAATATCGATAGCGCGTCCTTCGCCATCCAATATCGATAGCGCGTCCTTCGCCATCCAATATCGATAGCGCGTCCTTCGCCATCCAATATCGATAGCGCATCCTTCGCCATCCAATATCGATAGCGCGTCCTTCGCCATCCAATATCGATAGCGCGTCCTTCGCCATCCAATATCGATAGCGCGTCCTTCGCCATCCAATATCGATAGCACATCCTTCGCCATCCAATTCGATAGCACGTCCTTCTCCATCCAATATCATAGCCCATCCTTCGCTATCCAATATCGATAGCACGTCCTTCTCCATCCAATATCAATAGCCCATCCTTCGCCATCCAATCGATAGCACGTCCTTCTCTCCATCCATATCAATAGCCCATCCTTCGCCATCCAATATCGATAGCACGTCCTTCTCCATCCAATATCAATAGCCCATCCTTCGCCATCCAATATCGATAGCACGTCCTTCTCCATCCAATATCAATAGCCCGTCCTTCGCCATCCAATATCGATAGCACGTCCTTCGCCATCCAATATCGATAGCACGTCCTTCGCCATCCAATATCGATAGCACGTCCTTCGCCATCCAATATCGATAGCACGTCCTTCTCCATCCAATATCAATAGCCCATCCTTCGCTATCCAATATCGATAGCACGTCCTTCTCCATCCAATATCAATAGCCCATCCTTCGCCATCCAATATCGATAGCACGTCCTTCTCCATCCAATATCAATAGCCCATCCTTCGCCATCCAATATCGATAGCACGTCCTTCTCCATCCAATATCAACAGCCCATCCTTCGCCATCCAATATCGATAGCACGTATCCAATATCGATAGCACGTCCTTCGCCATCCAATATCGATAGCACGTCCTTCGCCATCCAATATCGATAGCACGTCCTTCGCCATCCAATATCGATAGCACGTCCTTCTCCATCCAATATTAATAGCACATCTTTCGCCATCCAATATTGATGTTGATAACACATCCTTCACCACCTAATATTGATATATGAGTTTTAATGACCTAAAGAATCTGTAAACCAACATTTCATTTTCCTGATGTGCCTGCTGCACCATGTACTTGTATGAAAAAGTATCCTGTTCTCTTTGTATTGCTTCCTTTGTGTGAAATCCCTGGTG